ACTTCCCACGAGCCAGGCTTTGTGTTTTAGCTGTACAGTGAAACAGTAAGTCCTCAATAACTATTTCTGAATGGGTGGATGAATAAATGAATGAATCAGGCATCTCTTTTATTTCACATTCCTAAAACTGAGCCTTAGCATTGTGAGGGCACTTAGATTTACATAATCTCTTCCTTCCTTTTTCAACCATTTTTGAGGGCCAGATCTGTGGGAAGTCAGTGTGTGAGGGACTGAGGAAACAAGAGAACCTGCCCTCAAATGTGTTCTAGACAGAAGAACAGGTCAGTGGGAGAAGGCAGTGCTCTGAGAAGATTCTCTGAAGATGCTCACAACCCTTCCCTAAAAGCCATACAAACCCCCTAACAGGAATAGTGAATGTTCACTGCAGGCAGCTTTGCTCTCAAGGAGACCAGCAGAGGCTGCCCTAAAAAGGAGGTATCTCAGACAGAGGCACCATGAGAGTTGGAAGAACGAGGAAAAGAACCAGAAACAGGTGCCATGATGCTGATGTCATGCTAGGACAATGTCCATGTTAGTGGGCACTTGGAAACCTCAGTCTCTGCAGGATAAGCGCTCTGCCGCTGGGGTTCACTCTGCGGTGGTGTTGATCAGAAGGTTCTCCACTGTGTAGCCTCTGTGGGCAGAATCCTAGCTATTGTGGGACATGATACCAGCTCCCTGGGGACACTTTCCCTTACCCCTCTTCCCATGCCACCAACCTAACCTAACACAACCTAATACCTAAGCCATCAGATGCTCATTCACACCCAATGAACACCTGGTAATCTTTCATTTCATGGTCTCAACCTCATGTCTCTGCTTGCCATCTCCAGAAGGTACTGGTTGGTCCCTCCCTCCCTCCCTCCTTCCCTCCTTCCCCCCCCCCCCCCCTCTTCTTCTTTTCTTCCTTCCTTCCTTCTTTTTTTTTTTTTTTTTTTTTTTTTTTTTCTTTCTTTCTTTTTTTTTTTTTTTTTTTTTTTTTTTTTTTTTTGAGACAGAGTCTTGCTCTGTTGCCCAGGCTAGAGTGCAGTGGTGCAATCTCAGTTCACTGCAACGTCTGTCTCCTAGGTTCAAGCAATTCTCTGCCTCAGCCTCCCGAGCAGCTGAGATTACAGGTGGCTGCCACCATGCCCAGCTAATTTTTGTATTTTTAGTAGAAATGGAGTTTCATCATCTTGGCCAGGCTGGTCTTGAACTCCTGACCTTGTGATCCACTGCTTTATCCTCTCAAAGTGCTGTGATTACAGCGTGAGCCACTGCACCCAGCCTTGTTTCCCTTTTCTATGCTGTGCTAGGTTTCTGTACTCATCCTTCAGAGTATGTCTCAAAGTGTGAAAATGTAGTTATTTGCTAAGTCCTGCCCAGCCTCTGGCTGTGGGTTCCCAGAAGGTGGGACAGGGTACACCTGCCTTGTCCCTACTCACTAGGGCAGACTAGCATCTCCTTAACAATAAGAAGGCCTCCCTCATATATCCACAGAGGCTAAGGCAGTAAGGATATTCTTACTCCGCATCCTGGGAGATCTTTACAAGGTAAGTACTTAGAAGCTGAGAGAGACCTTAAGAAGCATTTCCCCCTTCCCTATTTCCATGACTTCTCTTTTCTACGGATCTCAAATGAGAGGCTTCCTAATGAGCACATAATGTCTAAAACCAGATATACTAGATTTATAAAATCTAGTCTGTTATTGTGAAAATTAGAGCTAGAGATAGTCAGAACAAAAATAAGACAAAAAAATCCAAAAACCATAGCCCTTGTTCTCAGACTCAGAAGTCCTAAATCTTTAAGAAGCCCTTTGCCTCAAATCCAATGCATTTTTAAAAACAAATCATATTTGAAATATGTGTCTCACTTTCTCGTTATGAAGAAAATCCTGAGATACAATATTTTCACGTTCCATAAAAATCTAAACAGCCGCTTTATTCACAAATCACATGGTATATATAATTTCCCAAAGATCAAAATTGGCATTCACACATAATCTTCTAAAAAGACAAAATCCAATGAATACAGTCACCATTCTTTCTAAAACTTCAATAAAGAACAGTAAAAAATCATTCACTGGCTCCATCAATATTCTGGTGCAACACAGATGATTTCACCCTCTACCTCTTTTTGGCCACGTTTATTCGGTTCCCACTGTGCCTGCCAGGCTGGCACTCAGAGAGAGAGAAAGCAATGAAAATACATTACACTAGATGAAACTAAACTACTTTAACATTTCCTTAATGATTCGGCAAATCCTTTCAGACTTTGCTAGCACTGTGAGGGCATTTGGATTTGCAGAATCTCTTCTTTGATTTGTCAACAATTTTTGAGGGCCAGTGCTGTGTGAAGTCAGTGTCTAAGGGACCAAGAAAACAACAGAGAACCTGCCCTCAAGCTGTGTCCCGGATAGAAGGACTCATCAGACCTGTGAAAGACTTAAAGGTGAGGCTGCTAATATGGATTATGCTATTAATATATTACACATCAATATATAAAAATATTGATAATATTAACCAGTGGAGACAGTAGCTAAGAAATATTTTATCATATGAAAAAATACTTCAGTGTCCAAGACTCTTATTTAACTTTTACAATTCTCTCTACTCTACTTCCCTTTTCTCTATGTTCCTGCTGACACTATACTCAGCAGGCATGTCTGAGGATGAAAAAGAGGGCCAGCACAGAACAGCAGGGCATCGGGGGAGGGAGGGAACAGCATCAGATGAGGCTGGGAAGGGAGTCAGGGGATGGAGCATGCCAGGCCTTGTAGGCCTGAGCTAAGCATTTACATTTATTACAAGTACAAAGGGGGCTGCCTGGAGGGGTTTAGGAAGTGAGTGTATGATGTAATCTACATTTTGTAAAGATCACTCTGCTAACCTGCCTGATGAATTTATGCCTTATGCCCTTGATCAGATCACAAGCAGCTGGATGGCAGGGCCATACGTAGTTACTGTCCCTTTAACACCCCCACATTATGGACTGGCAGAATGTTAAACCAGTGGCTCTTAAACTTTCCTGTGCATCAGGATCATCAGAGGCCCATTTAAACACATCTTGTTGGACTACACCTACAGAGATTTTGATTCAGTGGGTCAGGGCAAAGCCTGAGAATTTACATTACCAAGAAGTCCCCACATGATGCTAGGATGCCAGTTGCTCTTCCAGGCACTGCACTTAGGGTACCTTTTAAATCTATTTGCAGAATAAATCAGTCAGTGAAGAAACGTGCAAGTTTTTTTTTTTTTTTTTTGGTTGGGTGGTTGATTTTGAGACAGGATCTCGCTCTGTCACCCATTCTGGGCTACAGTGGCATGATCATGGCTCAGTGCAGCCTTGAACTTCTGGGCTCAAGCAATCCTATAGACTCAGCCTCCTAAGCAGCTAGAACTACCGGCACGCACCACTATGCCTGGCCAATTATTTTATTCTTTTGTTGCCCACGCTGGTCTCTAACTCCTGGCCTCAAGTGATCCTCCCACCTTAGCCTCCCCAGTCACTGGGATTACAGCCATGAACCACCATGGCTGGCGAAAATATTTTTAAAACAAACAACAGAAATAATCAGTGGTTTGCATTTGATGTAAAATGCAATCATTTATTCTTTTTCTTTTTAAAAATTATTCTCTTCACCCTATAATGGAATGATAACAAAAGGACTAATCATTGTATATAGCAGCACTATGAAAGGAATTAGATCATTGTGATTAGGCAAGATGAGATACTTCAGAAGCTGCACTGCCAAGTTTAATTATAAAATTAAGTGTCATTGAAATAATTTTTTATTGCAAAAGTATTTGACTTACTTCCGTAGTCAGTTATTACAATACTGCCTCAGTCCAGAAGGAATATGAGATAGTGAGGCATCTCTTGGTTCAATTCCAAAACTGAAAATTAAACTACAATTTCCTTACAACTCAGGAATAGAACTCACCATGGCTCATTCTGTTTGGTTCAAAGTGCACAATGTTGATGAATACATCTACTACAAAAGCAAGTAGATTCAAACTCTCTTCCTAGAAGGAACCCCCAAAGATTCCAACTTAGGTGCTTATTATGCCAAAGCAAAAGTGAAACTCAAGAGTGCAAAGTAAAGAATACAAGTCAGACCTAGGAGCATACAAGAAGCATTCTGCAGCCTATAATCCTACATCCAACCAGAGCAGCCAGCTTTGGAGTCTGCAGCCCTGATTACAGGAGGAACTCGTGCTCCTTCAATGCCCACAATCAAGTTGCATTTTGACCTCTGCCAGTGGGATCTCAGGAAAGAAGGAAAGAAGCACAAGAAGCAAAATGCCAATGCCCTGTGGTTTCTGTGGGTTTATTTTCTTCAGACACAGGTGAGGCTTTGGTTTCCATGTACCAATGTCCATTCACTCAGAAATTATTATCACAGGCCAATCAACAACAGATAGCTCAACTCAGTGATGGCTTGGGGTTTAGGGGTTCAGTAGGAAGCCCTCTGGTCTGAAACTTGAAAAGTCATAGGTTCATATTCTGCTTAGGGAAGAAGCTGGTTAGGTATACCCAAAATCATATAGGGCTGGTGAAATCTCATCCATTCATTCTGTAGTTACTCAGGATCTCATGGTCTAAGGAGTCGACTGGGCTGGGCTGGGGTGTAGAGGAAGATTCAAAACATCAAAAGCCACAAAATTAAAACAAGAAAACCTGTTGAAAATCACAGGCCTTGAAAAGCAAGTAGTAAATATAATAGTCATTAAATAGCAACCAATGACCAACCTCCCTCTCTGTCCATGTAGCAAGATCCAAATAACACTGTGTGTGGCCACCATGAGGCTGACACAACAATTTACATCATGTGGATGATGGACCTAGATTCTTGTCCTACACTAGTGGGAACCATGGAACAGTCAGGCTGTGAATTAAATAAAAAAACAGTAACCCCTACACGCTAGCAAAATATAAAGTACATGTGAGCCCCCAAATCCAAGCTCATTATTCAGAGTCTCTCTGAAACCCAGCACCCCATGGCATTTGCTGTTACCCACCTCCAAAAGGGTAAAAGTAAACATTGGACCTGCTCTGGTGTTAAACTGCCACCGGATCCTCCCCGCTGTCTCCCTCCTCCTCTTCTTCTTTACAGACAGGTAATGTTGGATCTTGAAGGGACTGGGGGCTCCCACTCTGGGCAAAGGTTGGACAGGTGACCAATGTACAGCATGAGATCTGGCTGTGCCTATGTGCCTCCGACAGAGCTGGATCATCTGGGACAATGAAAATTATAAGCAACAAGAAAGGAGTATTAACAGCAAGGGCAGGGAAACCAGGGCAGCACACACCACAGTTCCTAGGACACCCAACAACCATTCCTTTCCTCATTCAGTCATTCTACACACATTCATTAAGCACGGTGCCAGGCTCTGGAGGTATCGTAGTGACAAATAGGAACACAGGCCCTGCCCCCGTGGAGCTTACGGGCTTTGTGGGAGAAAGACAAGACAAGCAGTTACAGGACAGCAGGTAAGGAAAGCTTAGATGGTGTCATGGAGCACCAAGCAAAGGCAGCCAGCCCAAGCTGGGGGTGAGTGGTCAGGGAAGGCTTCCCGGGAAGAAGTGACATGTAACGCTGAGCCTGGAGAACCCATGGAGGGAGCCAGCCAGGATTGGGGTGGGTCAGCACATCCAAGATTCCTGAGAGAACATGGCTGTCTGAAGGGCTGAAAGTCCTTTGCTCTCAGCCATTCTGCAACCTGTAATCCTACATCCTGCACCCAGTTTTGGAGTCTGCATTCCTAATTACAGGAGGAACAGGTGCTCCTCCAATGCCCACAATCCAGTTGCATTTTAACTTCTGCCAATGGGATCTCAAGAAGGGAAAGAACTTAGAAAATAGCTTTTTTTTTTTTTTTCCTGTAAGAAGAGAGAGAGAAAAACAATAATGCAGAGTTTAGCTGCTACAGAATAGACCCAGTTGCAACAATCTTTTCTGCATACCAGCATCAGGGGTAAGGGAGATGCCACCCTCATGGAGGTTGTTGAAACAGACAAGAAGGTGGATCACAGTTTGTAATCACAATATGGGAGCCCACTGTGCCCCTTCCTTTCCTCCAAGTCCCTGAGAAATTGCAGAGGGAGCACTTTGTTCCTCTTACCCTTGGTGTTGATGTCTAAAAGGCTATCACAGACATGATGCCTCCCACTTGCCTTATGTAACTAAGGGAAACCAGGTAGCTTATGCAACCAATCTTGTCAGGGGCCTCTGTGTGGGGGGAAAGCAAAAACAAAAACAAAACAAAACAAAAACCCTCAAAGCTGGGAATGTCCCAGCATTTTGAATATTGTCCAGGATTCTAGCTACCTTTGCATTATGAAAGAGACCACTGGGTAGTAAGCTTCTGGTCATTTGACCAAAGACACACAGTCCAAAGTAGCTTTCTGTTTTAATATTATCATATGATCCAAGTCCTACAAACAACATCCCTGATTGAAATGGAAAAGAAACGAAACCCTCGCTTCTAAGAAGCAGAGCAAGTAGCTTTTTTAGAGACAAAGAAAGGATGTCTTCTTAACCTATGACAACACAAATTTGTGTAGGTTTTCCCTCCACCACGTAAGTAAGCAATTAGGTTTTTTACAATAAAAATATCCCTGTGCATGTGCAAACACCAGAGGCAATCATATAATTATCCTGCCCAATCAGATTCAATTGCTGACAGTTGAGTTCCCACTGCTCATTAGCTTCAGATCACAAAGAGGTCTTTACGGAAGCCCTTTGCTTCTCTTTACAAAGGTTCCTATGATGCTCCGATTAGCACCCCCACTACCTCACGCAGGATAATCATCCCCAAATCACCAGGGCCAAGGCCAGCCTCCTCTGGCTTCCTTCTGAAAAAATAAAAAGAGAAATTCGAAGACACGCTGGCTTAAACACCCTTGCTTCATTTGGGGATCTCACTTCTAAATATAATAGTAACCTTTCACCCCCACACTTTAAGTGCCGTAATTACGTAATTAAAACCAATTATGTCATTTAACAGAGACTTTTTCAAGATACGGCAAGCCAATTACCTCAATCATTGACCTCAGAAGATTTCCCACACTGACCTGCAACCATAAGAAATAGGATAAATTTAGACACTGGCTTCCGAAGGCTGGCATGGACTAGTGGGGTGGGTCGTAGCTGGTCTAGATTCTTCGAGACTCTGGAAGCTAAATTGAATTCATTCCCATCTAACACCATCTCTACTTCTTTGCACAGTCCTTCCCGTATCCCAGGATAATTACTTGACTTTTCATAATCACTCTGAAAGAATGATTATTTCCATGTTGCAGACAAAAAAAAGGCAGAGAGAGTCATAAAGTTATCTCAAGTCAAGCAGCTAGTTAACAGCAACGCTAAGGCAAGACCTAAATCTTCCACCATAGAATTCAAAGCCTTCATGTAGCCAGTAGCGTGTGGGTGACTCTCTTACCCTAATTTCCCTTTGAGACAACACATTTGCCCCCACTTTAATTTACCTGCACCGCACAGGGTTCCACTGCAGCTCAGGGGGTGTGCCCTAAGCTGCCACAGCCAGTCAGCTTCTAGCATTCTTCCCCCAGCCACAGCATTGGTTCAGAATGAGCACATGATCTCATCAAAGCCAATGAGAGACACCGACACTTTTTGCTGGGGCTGTGGGACCTCTGTCTAACTGCCCTTGGAGTAAGAGGAGGTAAGAGTGGACACTGGCAGGCATCATGCTCCACTGAGGAAGTGAGGGTGAATGGAGCCAAGAGATGTGGAGGGAAAAACTGGTTCCAGGAAAACACCCTCTATTCCCCATCCCTTCATGCTTCCAGTAGGAGCATGGAAAACACGGGTTATTCAACAGCACACCGGAGAAAGCAGGAAGAGCGCCACCTACAGCTTGGGTAGGCTCCATTTCCAGGATGGAATCAATCCACTGTGGCTCCGAGGCCTGCTTCTTTCTTGCAACACAGTTAAATGCCTCCAGTTTTTGAGTTATTTAAAGAACATACCGTTTTATGGGCAGGAGGAAGCACTTTAATCTGCAAAATGATTTTTATCACAAACTAAACATCCTTGTAACTTTTTGGTCCTCTGCTTTGGTCGAAGTTGTCTCCTTGGAGCTCAGACAGCTGTTGGAGCTAAGAAGATCTGCCTCCACCCTGCACTTTGCCCTGCTCGTTGGTACCCTGGTGCTCTCCAATTTCTGGATCCATGTGGGATATAAGAACTCAGGATCAGGAAACCTACACTCATCAAAATGGGGCATTTTCTTTTCTTTATCCCAGGACTTGAGGAAAAGCAAAAAAAAAAAAAAAAAAAAAAAAGCAAGAATTCCTCTAATTCAAGGTTTTTTCAACCTTGACACCTGAAGTTTTGGAGCCAGATAATTATTTGTCATCAGGACCGCTTTGTGAATGCAGGATATTTCTGACCTCTACCCGCTAGATGACCCATTAGCACCCCTCTCCTCAATTTGGGACAACCAAAAATGTCCGTGGACATTGACAAATGTTCAGGGATAGGGGCCAAGATCCCCCCTCACTCCCCAGCTCCCCATTTCCTGGTTAAAAACCACTGCTGACAGCACCTTTAAAAACATAATTCCTTGTAGTATTATGTTGTGAGAGTGAGGGAACCATCCTTCAAATTTTACAAGAGCCATATAAAATATCCCCTGAAGAGAACTGACTTAAAGAAATTCCAGGATACCAGCCTGGGCAACACAGTGAAATCCCATCTCTACAAAAAATAAAAAAGTAGCCAGCCATGGTGGCATGAGCCTGTAGTCCCAGCTATCCAGGAGGCTGAGGTGGGAGGATTTCTTGAGCCTGGGAGGTCGAGGCTGCAGTGAGCCCTGATGGTGCCACTGCACTCCAGCCTGGCCTACAGAATGAGCAATACTACAAAATGACAATACTACTGTCTGTCAGGGCTATAAAGCTGCATAAGACTTGACCCATGAAGGACAAGAGCGAAGAAAAAAGTATCAAATAGAAATAATTTTACCTCAACACTGGCAAGAGGAAAAAGACATGGAGGAGAAACTTAGAAGTGAAAAGCAGGGAGGCATCTATATGGTGAGTTCCAATGTGGGTACTCAGCTTCTCACTTTCACAGGTAAGAAAATGGAATCTTAAGATTATTGCTGGGTTTCCTGGATTCAAAACCCAAAGCCAAAAATGTGGAAGAGGTTGGTATCAACAGAAATAATAATTCCAGCAAACGCCTAAAACTTACTCACTCTGCAGAAAAAAAAGCCAAAAATGGTGAAGCTTCACTTATTTGGACAGATGTGGGAGAAGTAATTGAAAATAAGAAAAATTGATGAATTTATAGAATATTTTTCAAGGGAAGGCATTTACTTGCTTTCAAATGCCAGCAGTAATTAAGAGTGAGCTAGCAGAGGTCCTTCCTTCGGGATTGGTTTGAATGGCAAGATAAGATAGAATTTCTTGAATTAACATAAACATTGTTAGGCCGGGAAGAAGGGCTTTGAGTTAGTTTGTCCTCTCCACAGGCTCATTAGTTATACCTTCATACGGGCAGCTGGCTGAGACAAGCCCAGGAATTCCAGAATATTGGGGCTCCAATGAGGCTTTGCTTCCAGGCACAGACATCTGTGCACCTCAAGGAGCTGATCAAGTCAGGAGAACCAGGCTGGCATGTGTGTGAAGGCTGGGCTTTTTAGGGGTCCTCGTTGTGTGAAAAGATTTGGATTCTAGCAGTTTCTTTCTCTAGAAGTTTTAATGCCTGGCAAGATGGAGAGGTCTATTAGGGGTGTTCAGATGCCTGGAGCTGGGACACTGCTTCCTCAGGTCCCAGACAGCCTCCCCTCCATCAGCATGTCTCAGCTGTCCCATGCTGTCCCCTCCATCTCTAACTGCCCTCCCTTCTCCCAGCCGACAGAGAAATATGACTGCCTAGGGAGCAACCATGTCTTGAAAGGAGAAAGGGCAAGAATAAAGGCATCTCTGAGGGGTCTTGGCTCTCCTCCCCTAGTTCTTTTAGGCATTTAGTTTTGTTTTGTTTGGATAAAGAGCTAACATTTAGAACAGTAATAGAAAAATAGAAGTACTTGTCTGGAGGGTCTAGCAGAGGTCTGCAGTGACTCATGAGCCGTATAAAAGGACTATCCCTTCTGGAGTCTAGTAATTAAATTAAATCTGGAGGAGTAGTCCTCAAACCTTGTTAGAGAATGAAGTTCTCAGGGTGTACTTTTCCTGTGGCTAAGCGACCCCACCCCAGCCCCTC